CTCTGCCGGAGAGACGCACACACAAGGCGAGATGAAAAGCAAATCGCAAATCAGGAATTAGGCAAATTAGGAAACAAAAGCCAAGCAAGGGACAATAAAGGGACAAAGCTACACGCAACAGAAGCAGGATGTTGCCCACAATCCTCAAACCCGGCGCAATATCGTGAAGCATGCAGGAAGGCTCAAACAAGCGGTTTGTTCGCCAGCCCCGCATAAAACTTGCCTGTGCATTTTTTCTGCATGTTTTTGCGACTGCAAGTTTCGCCCGAATTGTTTTTGACCCCACGAGGCTAAGGACAGGCTAACTACCACGTGCGCCGAGCGCCCGCGGCTCAGGCGCGCATGCGGGAGACACCTTCGGGTTGCATCGCAGCACGTCACGTCCTTCGCGGCGCTCCGTACACGGCGCGGTCGAGACATCGGCGGTCATCGGACAACACTCGTCGGCGCTGATTCCGACCAGAGAAACGAGCACTGCATCGTGTCGTTGGGCAACGAAACCCAACCCGATCGAACCCGCATGTGGGCTGCGGGATTGTGGTGGTATCTGTGCCCGCCCGCGCTTGGAGTGCAAACTGGTTGTCGAACACGTCAGCCCACTGCGTGGCATGCGTGCGCGCAACGAGCCAGCGAAAGGCGTCGCCCGTCGGTCACTGCAGACATCCCCGAACACAGAGCCTCCGACGGAGCGCCCTCCTGCAGGTCATTTCCCGAGGTTTTTGGAATGCCTTGCGGGTGCCTATGAGATATTGTCCCCGTTTGGCACCCCTAATAGGCAGGCATGTGACATATAGCTATCATGTCATGGCAGTTCGGTTTTAATCCACGTCACTCGTGGTGTAATGCAGCACGATGCAGCACACTCCTGTTTTTTTTTCGGACGTGAGTTGCAGTATTGTTTCCGACCACGAATGATTTGGGTTTGCCCCCGGAGATCATCTGAGCAGTGTTCGAAGCTTCTCTGCGAGGGGGGTCGTGCAAGTCATTCTTCGGCAAGAAAATGTCTTGTCCCCCCCCCCATCCGGGGATTCCTGAGCCACATGTCGTCATGCCTCGAGAATGCAAGAGCTGTTCTGGGCGTGAGTTGCAGTATTTTGTTCCGACCACGAATGATTTGGGTTTGCCGCGGGAGATCATCGCATCGAAGCAGTGTTCAGAGCTTCTTTGCGAGGAGGGTCGCGCAAGTCATTCCTAGGGGTGGCAAGGCAAAAATTATGACTTGCACCCCGCCATCTGGGGGAGGCTGCAAGTATCTAGGAGGAGGGGTGCCCGTCTCGATACCCCGCATCATCGGGCTTCCGCCGTGCCGTCAGGCGGGGCATAGCGAGCGCCTTGCCAACTCGGTGGCAGCATCCGCGCACAACTCTCTAGCCTCGGTGTCCGCTCCTCCTCTCTCGCCTCACGCAGTGTGGCGGCGAGCCTAACCTGTTGATCGGGCTGGAATCTGGAACCTTCTGGACCGCAAGGAGTTCGGCAGGCGCAAGCGACTGCGGAGGCCGCCGGGCTGGGTCCATGAGGGCCTGCCACGTGGCGTCATTTCCTGCCGCGAGCTTTGCTGCGCTTAGCACGTGGCGAGCACGCGAAAGTTCTCCTGGGCGGACGTTTGCATCTCTTGCGCGCGCCTGGTTGCGTTTGCGGTCCACGCCTTGGAAGTTTCGTCAGGAGACGAGCAGGAACAGTTTCCAGGCCCGTGATGCTCGTGCTGCTGCTGCCTCGCTCCCGACGCGGTTGTCGGAACGGGGGAGCGTCCTGCATAGTCGGCACCGGGTGACGCAGCATGACGCAACTCGTCAGCCAGGTCAATGGCATCGAGTTGCTCTCAGCCTCGTGGTCCCGCCGTTGCTGGAGGCGGGCATGCCGCTCGCTCACATGCTGCGCAGGCGTCCGTGCCGGCACGTGCTTGCTTTAACAACGCCGCAACCTGCGACTGTCTCCAAAGGTAGCCACACGCTACGGAGCATTTGTGGAGAACTGCTGCCCAAATTCAAGCACGCCCAACACACCCCCAGTTAGGCATCTCGGGCCCAATGACACACATAACTCTGCCGTTGAGACCACGAGCGCACTCGGCATGTTGCTGGGCGGCACATGGCGGGCATCAATCAAAACCGGAGTCGCGGAGGTGCTGTCGTGCCAGGACTGTAGCGGCTCTTCCAGCGCAGTGTGCTGCGCATTGTTGCGGAAGCGAATACGAGCCAGTTATTACTTGATCGCCCAGCTCGCCACCTTTGGGGCTGCGATCGGCAGCGTGTTGCCGCGCATGGGGCATCTTGGTGCGCCACCTTGCCAGTCGTCCATGCGCGTACCCCCAGTGTTGCCACACGCTCTGCGCCACTCGCGTGCACAAATCCAGCGGTGCTGGCACGCGGCCGTGTTTGCTACAAGTTAACCCGTGCACAGCCTTCCAAGGCTTGCCAGCGGTAAGTTGCTGTTTAAGGGAATGTGCGGAGAGAATGTTAAGGTCACTTGCACTAGCCTTCTTGCTCGTCGCCTGGACTTTTGCATGACCCGTTCAGGGCACTGCAGTGCCCATCGTGGCCACTGACTGGATCTGACTGGGCTGTGGAAGTTTTTTGTTTCACGTCAAGAGAAGGTCAAGGCCACGCACCTCGGCTCAGCCGTTCGTGGCCAGGACAGAGAGTTTCCTAACTGACTGATCTGTAACCCTTTTGGCTCAAGCCGTTTCCTGCTCGAGTGGCAAAGCCATCAATTAGAGAGGGCGTAGGCGGGTACTTGTGACGCGAAATCTTGTTCAAACATACGAGGTCGTCCTCGCAGACTTCAGCGGCGATGCGGCGAAAGCGCAGTGCGCTGCTACACCAAGCCAGCCGGACCAGCGCGCAGCCACACGATCGGTGCGGTCGCGCGGACGGCGAGCGTGGCCTGTGCGCGGTGGGGGCTGACGCGGCCTCACTTCCAAGGTGTCGCCGAACTCACTGCCGAGGATAGCGAGACGCCAGCCTACGGCACCAGTGCGTCGGGGTAGGTATGTGGCGCTTGGCGGAAATGACGCAGGCTTCATTGGATCGGGTGGGCGACGACACGAGGGTCGAATCGGGGGCGAGCTGCGGGTCGTGCCAGAGTGGAGGCTTTCCCATACCGCAAACCTGTTTCCAGAGGCCCACGTACGCCACGGCTGTCCTATGTTGCCATAGCCAGTGCGACACGCTCTTGCCGTTCCAACACCATTGCCATGAGGCTTCGATCGTGGCAACTCCTTCCTTCTTTCATGTTCCTCGTCGGACGCCGCATGCGTACTTAGCGTGATCCAGAGCATGAGGAGGGCGGCTCTTCGCTTTTGTCTGGGCTGCACGCGTCATAGCGCCGAGCTCGAGCAGAGCCGAGAGCTGCACAACTCGGAACCTGTCTCGAGCTGGAGCTCACTGAGCTCACTGACAGAGTGCACATGCAGTCTCTTCGCTTCCTGCATGACAGGCTTGATGACATCAGCCAGGCAAGGTGTCACCTCTAGCGACAAGGGCATTTATTCGTGCTGTCCGTTGGCAGAACAGGGACTGGTGGACAGATGCTGAAACTGACCTGGTTCATGTCCATGGCTCGCAGCGTCAACGGCGAAGTAGCTGAGTGGTGCACATGCCTTGCTTCTGTGCATGTAACCTGTCTTCGCGACCGGGTCGTGTTCCGATATTTGCTTGCAAATCTTCGAGGCTGGTGCATCCACAGCCCATGGTTCGGATGACATCGTCGAAAAAGCTGTCGTGGCCATCTGTCCACTATGTGGGATTTGACTATGTCTCTTGGGCCCGGAAATGCTGGAAATACAGGCGTTGCCATGTTTAGTGCATGTCTGAGCGAACCGTCTGTCTGCTTGCCCGCGGTCGACTCAATCAGCGTAGCCAGTGGTGGCTGAGGTCTTCGGTTGGTCGTCTGAACCGTTTGACAGAGCGGCAGACACTGGAAACTGTTTTGAATGCAGTCGCGTTTCACCAGAAAGTTCGACCGAGCTCCCCGAATTAGCAGCAACTACAGCTTCAACACCGTGGCCATCCTGAACTCTATGCATGCTTCGTCTGGCAGCCGTCGTGACCTGATAAAGAAACTGAGAAACTCGTTACTTGCTGTGAAGCCCAGCTGCAAGAATAAGAGGCTCCAGCCGCGAACCTTGCTCTGGTGACACTGTCCGAAAACTACAACGGCCGCAGTAGGCTACAGCTGCTGCGGCCCAGCAAAGGCTGGCAAGACTCTCACTCTGACTCGCACAAGTCGTTCTTGCTCTTCTTCTTGCCTGCACAATGACTGCTATTCCCGGCAATCTTTGACTGGTAAGTCCACTTCACTCCAAGTTGAACATGGGAAATGAAAGCCGGCTGCGATGTAAGTAAGCATAGCAGGACCAAGACCTCCCTGTCACCCGGCCTTTCAGCTTGTCCTTTTTCTTATCCTTTTTCTTTTTTTTCTTGTCCTGCGCCGAGTGCTGCTTTGATGTGCTGTAATGTAAGTTTCCGATTTTACACCGTCACTCGAGTCATCAAAAAAAAAGTCGGGTGGGCAGGGACGGGGAAGCCAAAACAGGCAGAGCATCTTGATGCAGTCTGTCCTTGACATGCTTTTTCATTTTGGAGACTTCTTCCTGCTGCAGCACGGATCTGGAGGCTCATTGGGCGCAATGCCATGACCACACGGACTGAACGTCGACGAAAGAGAGTCCAGAGATGCGCAGAACAGCTGAGGCATTGAACGTTGAACGAAGCACAGCAAAGCAGACACTGCTGCAGATTGAGTTTCGCCCTCTGACGTCCTTGATCCGTCTTCTTTCCTAGCACAGGGCTGCACTGGGTTGTGTCGAAGCCTCGATCCATTGTCCCTCAAAGCGATCACCCTTTGCCCGCGCTCCGCCTTGCCTGGTCCTCCTGGAACTTCGCGAGCTTGGCCTCGAAGAGCATATAATTTTCAAAAACTGCAATGCGATATGGACACCTTGCACCAGGTATTCAGAAATGCACATGCGCATAACATATGAGTCTAACCACATAAATGATTGGCGCTGCAAGCGGCATGCAGATAGGAATGCCGTTGGCCAAACTCAAGTGTCTACTAGGCTTGTTTACGTATTTCGAAGAAATTCGCAATCTTCGACTTTTCCTAGGGCCGTTAGGGAGGCAGTAGCTGACAACCAGCTGCAGAAGCAGTATCGAGGGACATGCTCTCATCCGAGAAGTCTGCACATGAGTAGGTGAAGCTGGCCGGCGTGCTCAAAATTGCCGCCAAGACCTTGAACAATTGGTTGGCCTTTTCACCCATATTTGGTCGCAGGTGCGGTCGTAAAGGAAAATGACTGTTATCACCGCATCATCAACGACTTTGGACTGGCCGCCGCAGGCCTTAAACCTGTCTGCGGCTTCGGCCTCCTTCTCCTGCAGCTGGGCTTCGTGCTCTTCAGGCGGGTTGAATTTTCGGCACAGCTCACGGTTCGAAGCGAATGTCCTTTACCTTGCACCAAGCCTTCGCATACCGATCAGCCCTGCGAGCCTAGTGCCCGGAAGCACATGCCACTGCAGCCTGGCTGCCTGTGTAGCCCTGCCAGATCCTACCATGCCTGAAACATGTATCGGCCAGAGGCCAGTAATGCAGTTCAGGCGCCTCGAAGGACTTTCGTTTCTTCAGCTCCGGCTTCTTGGGAGCTGGAATGGGCCAGGAAGCGGAGGAGTTGCTGGTTCTGATCGATGGACTTCGCATTTTGTTGTTGTGAGTGGGAGGCCCCTATGGAAGCTCAGGGCTTGAAGGCCGTAAGATGTTTTCGGGGCCGGTCGCAGCAGAGACAGCAATTATGCGAAGCCAGATCCCGTTGCAATCCAAAACGGTGTCAGCTCCTTTGCATTCCAAGCCTTGCACTGGCAGACCCAGCCTGTCTTCACTTCGGCTGGATCCTCTTTCCTCGGCTTAAGCAGAGCCTGCGGATGCGCGGTGCTGGAACTTGCGTTGAAGGTCCAGCGCTTGGAGCGATGTTCTGACGTTAACACGATTATCACGTGTACAGATTCAAAGAACCAAAAAGCATCACATTTCGTCTGTGGCAGCTGCACCTTCTTCGCGGGCACCGCAATTTCTGAGTCTTCCTCGGACCTTGAAGTCTCCAGCACACTAGCACAGCAGGCTATTGCTGAACCTGACCGTTACCAGATTGGGGAGCTGAGAGTTGGACGAGGCGCTCTCAGAGCTCTCGGAGCCTTCCGAAGGGCTTCCTGGCGGCAACAACTAGACTCATTCAGCCCGATTGCTCGGACTCGGCCTGCACTGCCAGCAGCGCCTGGCAGTTTTGCCACTGCCCCTACCATCCTTGCCTGCGAAAGCCTAGACTCTACACTTGCACCATTGGCATGTTTGGCTCCGTGGAACCCCGCGGTTCGCTCGCGGGAGTACTTCTAACGGCCTCGAGATTTTGGGGAACTTCCGGTCCTGCCGCTGCTTCCAGCTTCGTCGGCGCCACAGGCCCAGCGCAGCGCACGCAGCGCTGCCGGCCGGAAGCAATCTGGGAGCGGATCGCCCCGGGGTCATTCGGGGCACTCGGTGCTTCGCTCCGTACTACATGCGGGGGATATCAGATAACAGTGGCCTGGGCGAGAAAAAAACAACGTCCTTGTCAGGAATTGTAAGCGAACTGTGGGCATCTTACCTTTCGATTGGAAAATGTGGGAGGGCCCTGTCCTGAAGAGGAGCCACAGCAAAACCCGCTGACGCTGCAAACGAAGCTGCCACTTCCGTCTCCAGCGGTCGCGAGCACTCGCCGCATCTCGCCACCTTCAGCAAAGTAGGATGGCGATTTGAACTTAGATCTGTCGACACACCCACGGAACACAAGACGCTAGAGTCCACAAGCACACGTGGCCTTTCTGGCGCCATTGCCCAGCAACAAGTTTGCCTGACGCATGTCGCCATGTCCGCGATACAATGTGGGTATCTAACAGATCTAACGGCCTCGCCTAGGATAGGGTCTGGTAAGTGCACGATGTTCGGGGAACATCCCGCAGTGGGTCGGTCTGGGGAACCTATTTGTCACGCAGCTTCGCTAAAACATCATGGTCTCCCTGCTGCGGATGCTGCATCTGCATATGCAGCCCTACAAACCCCAGGCCCTAAACCCTAAAACCCTGAAGCCCCGAGAACCTGATCCCTGTATTCCTCTCCACTACTGAAGAGAAGCGTAGAACTTGAATGTTATAGAACTCATGCAAGCACAGACAACACAATGCCGCCCAATATGTGACAACACCGGTTATACTGTGACAATCACTCACACATTCGCACATAAGTACAGATGGTACCCCCCAAAGCCACACCCAAGCCGATCATGTACTACATACACCGGAAGTTCTACCATCTGCCTGTGTTCGGAGTTCGCGTCATTACTCGAAGTTTGCCTTAAATCCAAACATTGCTGCGCTGACTTGCAACATTTCTGTAATTTTGTAACACTTGTCAGCATTCCAATCTTTCCACATGTTCAAAAAACACCGCCCAAACATTAAACTCCTTAGGGCTTCCAAAATTTCCCGAAAATTCTGATATGTTCGGAAAGTTCCAAACGTTTCAAAAATTTCCCCAATATATAATCTGTCCACGTCTAACGATATGGATGCTGACTTTTTGGAAATTGTGAACATGTTTTAAAATTGGGAATGAACTCTTAAACATTTGGAATTTGTGCAATCTTGCAGTCTTTGGGATGCTGTGGAAATTCTTGAGCTTCTGGGGGTCAGATTTTTTGGAAAATAGGTGGAGTCTGCCGATTAGTATAAAGCTTGGTGCGAGGTCTTTACGAAGTTTCAAAATTTCAGAAACCTAAGAGCTTTTCGTTGTAGCTGTTGTAACCGTAGGACCTGTAGGACATGGCCAGTATGCTTTTGCACATTGTGTACAAATTTTCCGAAACCCGTTTACAAGAGATTTGAGGGATTTGGAGGCTCTGGTTCTCATGACTCAAGACGATACAGACAATACATGGCATGGTTCGAAAATACTCATGTCTTGACAAATTGCTGTTCATTTATTGCTCTTTATTGCTATCCACTCAAAAAGCATTACAATACATACGCTTTCCAATCTTACATGTTCATGTATACAGCATTTCCTGAATCTAAACTGCACTTTACACACGCCCCAATTAACGAAACCTGCACGTCCTAACCAACATTCGCACACATATTTAATGCTCAGTTCATATCTTTGGCTACGGCGCTATCCATGTGTAATGGTTCTGAATGTTCTCGGGCCAACGTAGCAGCACCACCCAGCCAATATGTGGATAGTGTCTTTTGCATATATAACACAGTGGATAGTATGTGAAGTAAACACACTCCCTTACACGAACATATAACCAAAAAGCTTTCAAACACAAACATGACAACATTTAAGATTTCAGCGCACATGTGCTTAGCCAATATCCATGCAACACCTACATGGGTTCTGACGTTCAAGCGCTCTTCAAAAAGGAATACGCCATGATCAACACTGGTAACTTATTGCAGCTATTCTTTTTAGGTAGACATTCAGACGATATGTAGTAGTTAGGCAATAGCTGAATTTCGAGATGATGACTACTGTCTGTTTGATTGAGTAGGACACAACAAAAGACGAACAACAGCAAGGGCGAAAACATGTTGTAATCCTACCTCAAAATTATTATTTGGTTGAATCGTATATGAACTTTTTGGCATCCAGGCTGAAAGGATGCTGCAACTGATAGATTTAGGAGCATTGCCAACACATTGGGTGAAACATCACGGCGAGACTGGACACCTCAGAATAAAGTTTGAGCGGACTCTGATCAAAAACCCATTAGTTAAAAGTGGTTAAGTTCTAACGAACCTGACATTATGTTAACAATGACTTGTAATTGAATATTATTGAGCAGTATCTCAGTATCAGACGAGTTCTGGCTATACAAGAAAAAATGACATCTCGCTTTCGCGCAAGAAG